TGGAAAGGGAAACCATGGATACTCATTGTTAATTATTTGACTCAAACTCGATTCAACATGCATAGATGGGAAAGATTATAGTGTATAAGGGGAATGATGTATGGAGAAAGCATGTAAGATGAAGGTATGTGAATGTGGAAAGTGTTATAAGAAGTATGGTGTGAGGTATGTAATGTATGAAAAGTGATGTGAAAGAAAATGGAAAGATATTTTGAAATTTCCGGAATAGGACGGACCCTCAACTCAAATGACGGCTCATGCATGGACCTAAGACATGGTCGTGGTGTGAAAAAGTATGTACAAGGTGTGCTAAGACTCATGAGTGAAAATGATATGTTCTAGACTCGTGTAATGACCATGTGACTACATGATTAGACTCAAATAAGACTAAAAAAAAGACTTCGTTATTCATTAAATAGGTTAATTATGAAATTTAAACTTGACACGAAAAGAAATAAAAAAAAAGGTTGGATGTTAACAAGAACTCCTAAACTGGACAGGATGTAGTATTTTGATCATAACTTTTGATCTGTGAATCTTATTGGTACTAAACCAATTCCAAATGAAAGATAAAACTCTGGGCTACAGATCCATAGGTTTCACAACATGTAACTCTTTCTAGAACTCCGGCTATGACCAAAATAAGTTGACGCTTGTGCAGGATACGGAAATAAAAAATCCGGGTTGATTCAAAGTAAAAAAGGAACTATGACTTAATTTTAGACATATTTATAAGTTCAAATTAATTAATCAATTAGTTAAGCAAAGTCCTTTTTAGTCATTAATTAGTTTGTTTAGACTTCATTCATAACACAAGTCAACACAAACAGTTAGTTTAGTCACAAGCAAGTATGCACAAGTAAGAGATGCACAAATAGTCAAGTAGTCACAACATGATGCAATGAGTTTGTAACCTAACCAACGCTCTAGTTCTCTAAAGTTCAAGGATTATGGTAGTCAAAGAGGATCCATGGTTATGAGTCCGGATGCATCGCACGGAAGCCTTACCTTTGAAAGGGTTGGCACGTATGGATGGGACCTCGCAAAATAGACTTGCTTCCATGGTAGGGTGAATTCACAAAATCGGATGTACCCGTGGTTGCACGGAGCTTCGATTGGGTAGATAGAGCGTGAATTCCCAAGGGCTAAAGCCATATGTGAAAACATATGGGTTTCAGAAAAGAAGGAAAATCTCAATCAGGAAGTAGAATCGGTCAAATAGTACTAAAATCGGTCAAAACAAGAAGGCAGATATCTAGCTCGATGTAGGAAGAACTCGGTGCAAGAAAACAGGGTTCATCGCACAGTGATGACCCCATCACGTAGCGATGAAGCCATCGCACGGCGGTGGACACTGTCGTCTCGCGACAGTTCCTACACTTCGCGGCAGCTTTCTGTGTTCTCAGAATTTTCCGATTTTTCATAGTATTTTTTTTTTATTCTAGTTGTGAAAGATATTTCTCAATTTTCCTACGTGTAAAATTCCTATGCTTTTGACGCATTACGGATGGTCTTTTCCATGCGGGCCTTTTTATGCTTATTGTAACACCCTAGAAATTCTTTTCCTTTAAAATACCTGTTTTTCCCTTTTTGAAATACGAAATAGGAAAATCTAAGACATTACCGCCACCTTAAAAACGGCTAAGGCAAATATCAAAGACACACAGCGGAAGACTTTCTTTATAACCATTCAAAACAAGTCAACTCAAAAGTCAAACCAAACGAAAGTAAAGTCAAACAAAGTCAAACCTACAATGGAATCATTGTAGGCCCTTAAAATCAAACAATATTGAAAACCTTTGTGTTAGTCTCATGAGCATAATAAAATAAATAATATTCAAAGCAAATAAAACACATCATATTCCTATAGAAACTAAGCATGATTTGCTCTTCACTCATGCCCATCATTAAAATGCTTCATTACCTGAAAAACTTCTCTCTACTTGTCCCCACCACTCGCCATTAGAAATGGGTCGTCATAGGGCCAAGGTAAAGAAAAGTCCAAACAAACATACAACACACAATCAGCAATGCTGAGTACATAAGCGTAACTAAAACACACTAACATGCTTTCATCCTATCATCACACAACTTACCTTGTTGCACCTGTAAACAAGCATACAAGACATTCAACACTTAACTAGACAAATACCAATGTCCATTTAATTTGATTATGCATCGAACGGGTTTCCCCCTAACCTGCCCCAATAAAGGGGTACTAACACGGGAGCTAACCGTGCCAGTATAAAAGAAACCACTCGTAAGTGGCGGAATTCTTGCGCGTAATAAAAAGGAATATACAGCGTCTTGTACTCCCAGTAGAAGTTATGGTCAAATATAAAGTCGCATAATTCCCCCTATATGTTCATACTCAAGGTATATACGTTCCAAGAGTTTTGGTGCGTAATCTCTTTCACTTTACGTTATTTAAATATTAATTATACTTGGCATAATAATCACAATAATAAAGCAATATCTCCGAATTATTCTATCCGAAATAAAACAGGTTTCAACGCGTGGTGATGGATTCATCGCGTCGCAATAGATGGGGATATCGCTGTGCGATGGATTCATCACTGCGCAATGTTTTTTAGAAGATAAGACTCATACAAAATCCGAATTCCAATAAAATTGGGTTAGTCGAATATCCATACTTATTTTGGAGATATTGCAATTGGTACATGTTACAATTTGTACTTCTAAACTACTACATAAAAATTATATAAAAAAAGTACAGATTGTTATTAATCCGTTTAGTATCATGTCTGGGATCTTGCTAATAATATTTTGGAGATATTTCTTTATTATAATGATGATGATTTTGGTGCGTAATCTCTTTCACTTTACGTTATTTACATATTATCATGCCTAGGATCTTGCTGATATTATTTTGGAGATATTCAAATAATTACCAAGTACACGAACGTACCTTGAATAAAACATTAATAATAATAATAATAATAATAATAATAATAATAATAATAATAATATATGATCAAAATTTAGTGTTTACATGTCTTTCTTGGGTTAAACTTGGTGTCATGAAGACCAAGAAGCAACGTAGTGTAATTAAATTTTGAGCAGAGGCAGAGTATAGGAACATGCATGTCTTTAACAGCTAGTGAACTTGTTTGGATTCATGGTTTGCTTGAGGATTTCAAAGTTCAAATTCAATTACCTGTTACACTTTATTGTAATAATATCTCTGCTGAGCATCTTGCTCAGAATCCCATGTATCATGAGAAGACAAAACATTTGAAGAGGGATATGCATTATGTCAGAGAATAGGTTGAAGAAGGTTTTCTACAAACTGCTCATGTTCCTTCTATCAAGCAGCTTGCAAATGTTCTTACCAAACCTCTAGCTTCAACGCAGCACATATTATTGAGTTCCAAGCTTGGACTATTGGATTTGTTACAACATTTATTATTTTATTTCCTTATAAAGTTAAATAGTTGTAACTAACTCTTGTATATAGTGTACAATCATAATGATAGTTGAAGATTTATTTCTACAATAATCTTCTAAAATAAAATCTTCATTCTACATTTTCATTCTCTCTCTCTACAAAGTTGTACATGATATCAGAGCTAGGCTCATGGTTTGGGACCTTTAATAGCATTAAGTATTCTGAGCCAAATTGATTCGGATAAAGTGATCCTTGAGTTAAAGGGACCTTACATGTGAAGGGGAGTGTTGAAATATATCCTACCAAATAACACATGTAAGCGTCTCACATTGATAAAATTTGAGAAAGGCAAACACTTTATAGGGCTAAGGGCTAAACCTCCTATTGCCATATGGTTTTGGGATGGAACCTCCTTTGGTCTTGTGAAGTAGATTCTCTCTTGGTTTGTGTAAATATGGGTTTGGGCCGCACCCGCAACCATGAGAGAGAGTCCACTTCACAAGATCAAAGGAACTTCCATCCCAAAACCATATGGCAATAGGAGGAGTAGCCCCTTAGCCTTATAAAGTGTGTAACTCTCTCTTTTTTTCTCAATGAGGGACACTTACATGTGTTGTTTGGGAAGTTTATACTTCAACACTCTCCCTCACATGTAAGGTCCCTTAAATTTTTGTCTCATGTGATGTTTCATGGGCTAGAGTGCATTTTTTCACTCTCCTTCACATGGACTCACTAAATTTGGCCCACTGTACTCATTACTCAAAGCCATCAGAGGTCCCACACCGTGAACCTGGCTCTGGCACCATGTTAAAAACGGGTCTAAGCTGCACCCGTAACCATGAGAGAGAGTCCATTTCACAAGACCAGAGGAAGTTCCATCCCAAAACCATACGGCAATAGGAGGAGTATAAGCCCTCCTAAAATGACAGTACAAAGACGTGGTTCTTTAGATCAAGCACAACACAAATCTATTTTTATTATTATTATTATTTTATCAGAAGACGTTGGCACTATTATAGGAGCAATATCTTTATTAGATAAAATAACAAAGGTGTTAATAATTCTAGTATCTTTGTTAGACATCATAAACAAGAAATTCATACACATTTATATTGAAGGTGTAATCTATTAGTTCCTAACTCAATAAATGACACTTGGGCAATCCCTTAGCAAATCGAGCATATATACACGTTTCCTTCTTTCCTTCAATTTCACAGTTGGAGTATTCATCGTATTTAAGTGTTTATTGAGAAACAATTTACACGGAAGATTAGATGGCTAATAATGTAGATCATTTAGTAATTTATACTATGCATATTATAGATGTTTAATTTGTAATAACTTTAGCTTGTTCTCGATTCTTTCTTATGATATATTTCGTATTATGATTCCCTTGTTTTTTTTTTTTTAAAAAAAGATAAATTATATTTACAGTCACAAAATAGGGTCCTAAATGGCTCTTCTAATCCCATCTAATCTTGCTTGAACAACAAGCTTATGGACATGGAGAATAGCTTGTATAAGAACATATAAAACATTACGAATAATAAAAGTACTTCCATTCTTCCTAATATCAAGTAGAACCGTTGAAGGCATTTCAGGTTGGCAAAGGCAGAAAACGGCAATTTGTTATTTAACCGTCAACATTAATAATGATCTTCGATATACTATGCTAATGTATTTCCTTGTGAAGATGGATTCCTAAAAGTGTTTACTTCTTACCTTACAATGAAAAATTACCGATACTCCGTACTTTATATCGAATCGAATCGATTCAAGTTTAGGTAAATTGACTTCAATACCCATATGCTTGGTTTTGAAACCTCATAACATAACATAACTTTGGTTGAGCCTACCTCCTGATTTGGGTTCCTTCTGCAACCACAATTCTCCCTTACAATTTGCTTTCCTTTCCTTCTTTACTGCTCGAAGAAAGAGAGAGAGAGAGGGAGAAAGAGATGAGCAGCGGAAAGAGATTTGAGAAGACATTCTCAAGGAAGAAGAAGGAGACCGACAACAACAACAACAAGAACAATGGTGGAAAGACAGAGGATGAAGAAGAAGAACTGTTAATTTCACAACTCAAATCATCATCTCAACAACAAAATGGAAAACCCAAAAGTAGCAATGGCACCAAATCCGCCATTGTTGTCAACAAGAAGAAAACATCTCCCACAACAACCCAGAATAATAAGAAGAAGAAAGAGGAGAAGAAGGTGAAGATTGAGAATGAAGGAAAGGATCAAACCCAGAAGCAGAAAAGGAAGGCGGAGAATGGGGGAGAAGAGAGGAATGTGGAGGATGTGAAGAAGGAGAAGAAGCCGAAGACGGCGACAATGGCGAAAAATCAGAGGAAGGGAAAGGAGGAGGAGAAGGAAGAGAATTCTGAGTGTGTGTTTCCGACGAATCGAATATTTCGGATTATTAAGAGTGAGGGTGTTTCCTCTGATTCCAAGATCAGTGGTGAAGCTGTTTTTCTCATCAACAAAGCTGCTGTACTTTCTCTCTCCTCTTTTTCCTATATTTTATTGATTTTTGAATTGAATTTTTGGTTGAATTTGTTTGATTTTGAAGTGGGTTTTGCTTAATTTGTTTTATTTATTCTGGGTTTGTGTTTAATTAAATTTATTCTGAATTTTGTGTATGTCTGCTTCCAGTTGCTGCAATTTGTTTACTCAATACTGTTAGGGTTTGCTATGTGTTGGACTAATTGATTGAGAATTTGTTGTTGCGAAGTTATTGATTATTTAGTGATATTGTATTAATTGGATTAGGGAAAGGTTTGGGATCATGGTTGGTAATTGGAGAATTGTAGTTTATTGGGGGTTGGAGAGGTTACAGAAAAATCGTACTTTTAGGAAGTGGCCTTTGGTGTCGGTTAAGAAGGGAATGTTATGCATAATGTTGCTGTGTGAGGGAGTGGATGAAGTTATTGGTTTAGATGGAGAAGAAAAGGCAATTGTTGGGCACCAATTTGTGAGTGTATATGCAAGGATTTTAAGTAAAATCATACAATATGAAATTGGTTGGTTATTTTTTAACAAGAATAGTTTGTGGAGCCTCAAAATTGCTGTCAAGTGGAGTCTAATACTCTAATTAAGGTTGTAAATGGTTGGTTGGAACTTGGAAGATGAATAATTGTAGCCTTCTCATATTTTTTATGATGGTGTATCGGGGCTCTAGGTTGCTCAACATGCAAGTGTGGAGGTCTGAAGTTGTATTCACCGTACTGTTGGATAATGAGGTTGACAGAGATAGAGGGAGAAGGAGACAGAAAGGTGAATATTTGTTGGCTGAGAACATCAGGTTGCAGTTAAGAAGGGTAAGAGAGCTGATTTAAAGATGTGATAGACTGACAGGTTAGGTGGACAAAGATGGGTACATATTGAGGAATGATGATAATTATGTACGGTATCGAACTATCGAGCAAGCAGGTTACATGAGTAAACATTCAGTATACAATATTGGATTTCTGAATTTGGGAAAACTTCTTGTGATGCATGAATACATGATATCATCTTAGCTGAATATGTTGTTTCTCTGAGTATTAAGATTCAAATTTTTGAAATTTGGATTCTAGACCTATCAGTTCTACTCCTATGACTTATCTATACAGGGAAAGTGAACTATCATTTTTAAAGTATACTTTATGACTAGTGGCTGTATGCATCGATTTCTATACCTTATGTATACAGGGAAAGTGAACTATCACTTTTAAAGTTCAAATATATCGTTATGACTAGTAGGTGGTATGCATTTCATAGATGCTGTTTTATGGATGCTTCAGTGTACACTTTCTCTTTTCCTCCTAACATGATTTTCTTTAATTAGAATGAGAGAAATAGAAGGTTGATGACTAACTTGAAATTGAATAGCATTGGCTGATGTTAGACATTCTAACAATAATATACTGATAATTGTTATCCCCTTTCACAAACTTTTAGCAATAACTCCTAATTCATGGAACACTTGATTCTACCTTTATATAATCTGGTGGCTTGTTGTCTTGCCCTAGTGAGTTGTGAATATTTTGATATCTCAGATCTCTAACTTCTAAGTCCTCACTTTTATAATCTTTAGTCTTATTTTTGCCAAGAAACAATTCTATTATACCAGTTTGCCTTTTCTTGCAAAACATAAAAGAGAAATCAACAGTTGTGGATTGTAGAGTATTGTTCACTAATCGGATTTGGAAATGAAGAAATATAATACCAAACAAAAAAAGGAAAAACCGTAAACTGAAATTCTGTAGGATGTGCTAACGCTTTTGATTTATATAAGAAAAATAAGTCATAAATTTTTTTCCCCAGATTCATGGTTTGGCAAGACAGAATATGGAGAAGTTGCCACAATTATTATTGTTTGGAACAATTATATAACAGTTTCATGCTTAAGTTTGTTATATTTCTGTTCTTAATGCTTATTTTTGTTTCTATTGTTGGTTGCAGGAAAAGTTAATTGAACTATTCTCAAAAGATGCGTATGACTTTGCTGTTGAAGATCGTAAGAGCTTCGTTGGCTACAAGCACCTTGGTAAGATCTCTTTGCTACAATCAGTTGTCACTTTTGTTGAGTACTCAGTTGTAGCTATTATTAAGAAGCTACAGTATAGGTAGTGTAGCAAGATACAAAGTATCTTTTTGCCACTAGCGGTGGAACATAGGAAGGTGCTATTGAGATAAGGTTTATTCATGAAAGCCTTGACTCAGAAGCAAAATCATTGTTAGTACAGTGTACGCAGAAATTGCGTTACTAGCTGATAATTATGATATATATGAAGTTAGTCTCTGCAATGAGGTCTACTGATCCATGAGAACCAGCAATGATTCAAAGCTTTTGAATGCTGCTGATATAAGGCTGGATGAGAGCAGCTTTCAGATGGTGATTGGTCTTAGGCTGGATGTCAACAGCAAAAGATGATCGTTGTGTTGTAATTCAGATTTTATTTATTTATTAATTTATTAATTTATTTATTTTCCTAAATAATGTAAGCCCTAAGGTCATACTCAAATTTTGACAATCTTCTTTTGCAAACTGATTATTGTTAGTGTTTAACATCTTCACTAGTCCTCATAAAAGTGACCTCTGTAATTTTACTACATAAATGGACCAGGCATACTAGAAAACAAAAGAAAAAAAGAAAGATCATAGAACATTTAGCCTTTATGCTAATAACAATAAGTGAAAATCGAGAGATAAAGATGACTTGAGTGGGGGGAGGAGAAAGATGTGTAAATGTAAGTAGTCCTAAGCATTTTGCATGACTATGGAAGCAGCACTTGTCATTATGCTGCTGGCATTCTTTTTTGGTAGTGGACTCTGGCTTAAAGTTTGGATATTGTAGTGACTTGCCTAGCACTTGCCTGTTGCTTTGTGTTAATTTTAGTTGCTTTATTGCATGGAGAAAGTCTTATAGTCGTTTCTGTCTTTTTCAGCCTCTGTTGTCTGTAAAGAGAAGAGGCTCGACTTCCTTTCAGGTACTCCCAACCCTTATTCTTCACTTTTGCCAACCTTGGTACTTGAATACAAATAATAGATTGTTCATTTAGCCTTTCGATGAATTTTTTGACCACTTGATACATTCTGTGGTACTTTAAAATGTTGATTTATTGTTCTTAACCAGATTTTGTTCCTGAGAAAATAACAGCTGAGAAGGCCTTGGCTGAAAGAAAACCTGCAGAGACCCTACCTGGCTAGCAAAGACGTACTGCAGTTTTTCTTTTTTATTTTACATGTGTCTATAGTATCTTTCTTTTAACCAGGCAGGAGGGAGGGGATGGAATACGATTGTATGTGTCACATCATCCTGAAGAAATGGATTCAGGTTTGCATCCTGCTCAGCCAAATTTTGAAAGACGTCCATGCTGTAGTTAGTGTGCGGGGAGACTTGCATCTTTGCAGAGGGTTGTATCTAGGGTAATACATGTCTATCTGGAAAAATCAGCCTTCTGTGATGGTATTGTTTACTTTGTATCATCTGCGCATTGTAGAACTTAAGTTACATTGGACTTGGCAAAGGATTAACTTCATGTAGTAGCTCAGGTGCATGTGTTTATTCAGAGAAGTCTTAACAGTAACATCATTAAACTAGAAAACTGAAGAAACACTGTAAATAAGATGCTAATTCCAGTTATTCCTAATACAGCATGCTGACATGGATAACTCAGTACTTAATTGAGTCAACAAGCTTTGTTGCTTGTAGAAGATCTCTACACTGATGTACTGAGTTCGGCTTGGGGCTTGCCCGGTAGCATCATTTGCTAATGTATTTTGCAGTCGATGTTAAAAAAAACTGAGTGTATACAGCCTATATAAGTTATAACCTATAACCTATTTTTAAAAAAATTTAGTTAGAGCGTGTCTATTTTGAAGCCTAACCCTTAGAGCCCATGTCTGATTAATCATCTTACTTAATTGGATTAGAACACTTGAGCCGTACTGTAATGTATTAAGTATAGAACTACTTTTATAGAATGCACCCAGCCACGCGCCCCCAAATTCAGAAAATTCCCAAATCAATTTCCCCTAATTTCCACCATTCCTAATCGAATCCCACCCCCCTTGCAGTAAAGTTGTCAAAAGCTGACCCGATCCGAAAATTTTACCTGAAACTGATCATGACTAGGCTTGTTTGAACCCGATAAATTGGTGACCCGAACCCAATGAACCAACTTGAAACCAACCCGAGACCCTAGTTAACCTTAGGATTCAGGACCTGAACCCGAACATGACCCGACTTAAGATGACCCGACCTGAACATTACTCGTCAATTATTGACCTGAATCGAACTCGACCCAAACCTGAGATTGACCCAAACTTGTTTTGACGTGTTGAAACTCGAAATCAACCCAACCTATTAGTAACCCAACCCGAATTCAACCCGGCGTGTTACTAATCCGACATGAATTCAACTCGATCTGTTTTTAACGTGACCCAAACCTAATGTAACACGACCAGAATAGTAATGCAATTAACTCAAATTGACTCGATTCGAGCTAACTCGACCCAAACTCTCAATTAATAAATCTACCTTTAACATTGCTTACATATTGATTCCTTAAATCAACTTATTGCAGTTTATCTAAACTTATTTGAACATGTCAAATCGAATATGAACTTATGCAAAATTGTTATTGCTAAAATGAGTGGAAACAATGTGAATAGATCAGGGTATGAACTTATCTTCTAAAAATCTAAACTAAACCTATCTTACTAGAATTAATATGAACTTATTATATATATCTTTTCTAAACTTATTTGAACTTATTAACTCGAATATAAACTAATCTGAAATTGTTTCCTAAAATGAGTGGAACCAATGAAAAATAGATCAGAATAGGGTATGAACTTATCTTCCAAAAATCTTTACTAAACCTATCTTACCGGAAGTAGTATGAACTCATTAGTTCGAATTTGAACTTATATGAAATTATTTATCCTCAAATAAGTGGAAAAAAAAATGTAGTTTAAATTTATTAGCTCGAACATGTACTTATTTGAAATTATTTCTCTTACAGTAAATAAAGAAATTGATACTACCTCCATATTTTAATAAGTGCTACAGTTTGATTGAAACATAATTTTAGGCAATTTAATTGACTTAAATAAAATAAGAGGTAAATGGGGTAGTTGGAGTATCAAAAAATTATAAAAGAAAGATAGCAGGGTTAATAATTTATTGAAAAGTAATGAATGTGAGAGGAACGATATAATATAAAAAGTAGTAGTGAGTTTAGGTGGGGACCATGAGATAAGAGAAATATAATATTTAAATGTAGTTTTTGCCAAAAAAAGGAAGTGTAACACTTATTAAAACACGGCCGGATTTGGTAAGTGATTAGGGGATTTTGCTCCCACCAATCGGAATGCGCCACGTGGGCCAATCAGGTCCTGCCAAGTGTTCCCCAGTTGGACCTCTCAGGGCTTGCCACGTGGCACACGCTTATTCGTCCGCCTTGGACCTATTATGTCATGACACGTGGCATACTCCATGCCTGATGGAGAAGTAGGCCACCCAGGCCCAACTTCCGAGGGAAGCCCAATCAGCCCAAGGTTAACCTAAACCTAGATTGGCACGTTTCCCGAGGTTATAAATACCTCCCTTAATTATCATTAAGGGAGATTACGCAGATTACACACATTAAACTCTCTCACCTAGAGAGACCCAATCACTTTAATTTCCGCATTAATTACTCCTTAATCAAGTACTAACTTGACCGTCGGAGGCGGATCTCCAATCATCCGGAGCATCCGTTTGTTTTGCAGGTACATGCGTCTGGTTCCAGTCTCGGAATTGTAACTCTCCCGCAGGACATCAGAAAACCCCGAAACATCTTGGCGCCGTCTGTGGGGAGAGTACTTCTGAGATGGCATCCACGTTTGTACCGGCTTCTGAAGAGAGACGTCCCCTGGACGACCCTCTAGTTCAGTCGGACCACGATACTGAGAATGAATTTGAAGTTGAAGCTCACACAGCTTCAGACGGGACCCTAAGGGCCCGACGTACCCGTCATACCGAAAGGAGGGAACGAGAACATCTTCAAATTGGAAGCGAGCCAGCAGGCGCACCGCCTGTTCGGCAGCAGCCGACTGATGGGTCTGCTCCCATCACAAGGAACGAACTCATGACCTTCATGAGGGACTTCAAGGGAGAAATTCAAGAGTTGATCAACAAGAAGCCGCCTGCTCTGGACAAGGAGCAGTCGGCTAAGAAACCCTCCACTTCACGGAAGAGGAAGCCAGTTCAAGGGCGAGAGGCGACCCCTCATCCTAAATCTAGGAAGTGGGAGCCACCTGCCCTTGATTTCACAAAATACCGTTTTCCTACTCCAGGAAATAGGAAACCTGTTCGTCATATTCAGGCGGACGGGTCGAGGAAAACATACACAGACGCTCGGCTACTGCTAGAGCAGAAGAAGAGTGACCGATTGTCAGAGTCGGCCTCTACTTCAAACTTCCAAGACAGTCTGCGAAATACCTCGATGAGGCATACTCAGTCGTATCATGAGAGTCAGTCAGGCGGCACCTCCCGTCAGTCCGGCTTTCATAGCGACCAGGCGGTACCAAACTTACCGTTTGTACCGCAACAACAGTATTTTTTACAGCCACCTCCGTTTGGTGGACATGCAGCAAAAAATGTCCAACCTATGGACTGGCAGCTACGGTTGCTTAGACTTGGTGAACAGCCGTCGGCCTTCTCCAAGGAAATTACTGAAGCCGCTCAGCCGGCCAAAGTGAAAAATGTATTAGTAGGCGCCTATGACGGCACTACTAACCCAGAAGACCATCTGATGGCATTCACCAACCTGATGTACCTTCAAGGGTTGGATGATCCCACTTGGTGCAAGTGTTTCCCAGCGACTCTCAAAGGAATCGCACAACAATGGTTCGGCAACCTGCCGACTGGTTGTGTAAATAACTTCAAGACGCTTGCTTACTTATTCACCTCCAACTTCGCCATGAACATCCCTGCGAAGAAGACGACCCTTGATTTAGGAACAATTCAGCAGGGCGAGAAGGAGGGGCTTCGTTCTTACATCAGGCGGTTTAACCTGATGAGAATACAGATTCAAGGGTTACCGGATGAAGTAGCCTATACTGACTTTTTCAAAGGTCTCAAAGACGGGTCGACCTTTAAATTTGATTTGGTCCGAAAGAGGGTGGCGATTCTTCAAGAGGCCTTGATTGAAGCGGAAGCCTATATACAGGCGACTGATCTTTGTAGTACGGTAAAACAGTCAGACGGGAGAAGGTCCGACAAAAGAGAAGGACGACAGAAACAGTCGTCAAACAAAGACGAGAAGAGAAAAGAGGTCTGGGCGGCTGATTCCTCTAAACAGCCGGCCCAGAAAAAGAAAAAAGAATTCAAACCATACTCCCCAAAGTATGCGTTTAACAAGGATAGCCAATTTATCCTAAAGGAAATCAAGGGACGGATCTCAATTGAGAAGCCGGTCCCCATGAAGGGTTCTGCAAACAACCGGAACCAAGAAAAATTCTGTGATTATCATGAAGATGTTGGTCATCACACCAATGAATGCATCAGTCTCATGCGGTATCTGGACCGCCTGGCTGAGCAAGGTGATCTTGACACTTATGTCAAGAAATCTACGGGGAACACTTCCTCGAAAAAGCAGTCGGCCAAAAAGAATCAACAGGCCGACAGTTCCGATACAGATGATGCAGTCGTCTACACCATTGCAGGCGGCTTCTCAGGAGGCGGCCCCACTATTAGGGGCAACAAAGACAATATCAGACGGTTAGATGTAAATTCCGTTCACCAAGAACGACCCTCCAAATATTCATTTCCTGAGATTGTCATCACTGAAGAAGATCTAGGAGGGGTAAGAGGGCCGCATGACGACCCTATCGTTATTGAATGTAAAGTGGCCAACCAGAGAGTTGGGCGAATCCTCACAGATACCGGAAGCTCCTCAGATCTCATCAGTAGCAAATGTCTGTCGAAACTAAAATATCAGACTGATTGCATACATCCGGCATCCCACCCTTTAGTAGGGTTTGGAGGAGGAGTCGTCCACCCAGTGGGACGAGTGGATTTACCCATCCGCCTGGGCGAAAAAGGGGAAGGACGACATATGGTAGTCCGGTTCCTAGTAGTAGAAGAACTCTCGGCCTACAACATGATTCTGGGACGACCAACCCTGAATAATTCCAAGGCTGTTATAATCCCATCTCTTATGTTGCTCAAGTTTGAGAGGGATAATGGAACAGTCGGGTCCCTAAGGGGAGATCAGAGGATGGCCCGTGAGTGCTATCTCTCGGATGTCAAGCCCACTGTTATGGCCACTGGGTCGAGCGGTGGAAAAATAGACCTTGACAATGTCAAGGAGAGTGCGCCTGTTCAAGAAGCAGGCGACAAGAAGAGAAAGGCATCCCAGACAGGGGCCACAAGAAAAGACAGAAAATAGCAATCATTGGAAGAGGAGCGGTCGGATGAATTCCGCCCTCAGCCAGCTGGTGAGCATACGGACCTGATCTTAGATGACTCGCGTCCTGACAGAACAATCAAGGTTGGGACGACTGCTCTAAGGGACCTGGGTGACGACTTTCACAAACTATTGAAAGAATACAAGGACATCTTTGCATTCGAAGTCCATGAAATGCCAGGCATTAGTCCTGATCTGGCGGTACATAAACTGGCCGTGG